CAGTTGGGGTTAAATAACTTGTTGCCAGCTGAAAGATGATCGTCCATGAAGTAATTATCCAACAGGAGGATCATACCCATTTGCTTTGTTAAATCCAGATGGCGACTTTTTTGTTTTTTGGGCCAGGCAGCAGTGTATTGTATTAACTGTAAATTGGAGTCTTTAATCATCTTAAAAGTTCTTAGACATACTGTAACTGATACCAGAAGTTTTGGTCAAAGTTGACTGACAAGTCTGTCTCTCATTTTACTATGGGAAGGGATATTGATTAATCTATTTTAATGAGTGTCCTGTAAATCTTAGATAGTAATTTGGGAGGGTTATGATTAAGGAATTCTAATACACTTGTTGGTATTTCAATCTTAGTGTTATTGAGTTTAAATTTATTTTTTATTATATATTTAATTTGTTGATTTTCTAAAAATTTAGTCTTATCAATCCAATATTGCGTTATTAATCCGTTAAATGGGATATAGTCTCCTTCCTCATATATATGTTCCAGATATTTGATTCCTTTAGAGATTAAGAGATTCAAAGATTTAAAGTGATTCACATCTCATGTGGTACATGTGGTGGAACGAGATTATGTACACAGGGTGCCAGTTACATCCAACAATAAAATGTAAAAGAAAAACTGTAATAAGATCGAAGATATGAGCTAAGAAAAACATCAACTAAATAATACACTAAGCACTAATAGCATAAAAACATTACATCGAACAGCAGCACGAACACGAGTCTGTGTGAGCAGATGAGCACGCACGAACACATCAACATGAAGTAGATCAGCAGCAACATGTGATTTTTCACAGTGATTATTCTGGTTAGGGATTCATGAGTCTAACAGCCTCAGGGTAGAAGCTGTTCCTCAGTCTAGTGGTTCTACACTTAATGCTCCTCAACCTCCTTCCTGAGGGGAGCGGTGCAAAAAGTGTGTGTGCTGGGTGAGTGGGGTCCTTCATGATGCAGGTGGCCCTCTTCCTGCATCTGGAGGTGTAAATGTCTGTGATGGTGGGGAGGCCGACCCCCAACAGACTTCTGTGCAGCCTTCACCACTCTCTGCAAAGCTTTTTTTCTGCAGCTGTGCAGCCTCCATGCCACACGTTGATGCTGGAGCACAGGATGCTCTCCACTGCACACCTGTAGAAGGCGGTGAGGACTGAGCTTCCCAGTCCAGCTCGTCTCAGCCGTCTGAGGAAGTAGAGTCTCTGATGAGCTTTCTTGATCAGGCTGGCGATGTTGTTGCCCCAGCTGCGGTTGTCATTCAGGTGTACCCCCAATTACTTGTAGCTGGAGACCACTTCCACCGCAGATCCTCTTATGTTCAGGGGGGTGTAGGTGAGTTTGTTCCTTCTGAAGTCCACAATCATCTCCTTTGTCTTCTTCACAATGATGTAAAGGTTATTTTCTTTGCACCAGCTCTCCAGGTGTTCCACCTCCTGTCTGTGTTTACACCTCCAACCTGGGAAGTTTATCATCTTATTCTGTTGTAGGATGTCAGGGTTGTTCCAGATGGGTGTACGTCTGCATGGAATTAGTAAAGACTCTGTCATTTTAAGAAACTCCCACCAAGCTGTCAGAGAGGAGCTGATATTGATGCTTTTAAAGCATTCCTGTCGTTTTATGTTTGAGCTAATGAATGGAAGGTCCGAAATTATTATATTATTGCAAAGTGTCTGTTCTACGTCTAGCCAGGGTTCATCAAGAGGTGTGTGTTTTATCCATCTTGAGATGTATTCTAGCCTGTTGGCTAGAAAATAATAATAGATATTGGGTAGCTCTAGTCCTCCTTTATCTTTGGTCTTCTGTAGTGTTTTTAGTTTAATACGTGGGGGTTTATCTTTCCAGAGAAATTTAGAGATGGAAGAATCCAGGGATCTAAACCAGTTAGATGATGGTTTATTTGGAATCATTGAGAATAGATAGTTTATTCTAGGCAAAACCATCATTTTTATTGAAGCAATCCTTCCCACGAGAGACCAGAGTCGAGATTTCCATCTAGCAAGATCATCCTCAATTTTCTTTAAAAGTGGGATGTGGTGTGCATTCACCGAATCTTCGACATCGCCTTACGTCCATGTCAGTACTTGTCCAGCTGCAAGTCTTACAAGTTTGGCCGAAATTCAATCTTCCAGACATGAGTTGTTGTCACTTCCTATTTTGTTGCGAATGTTTTGCCAGGACTTCCTTTAGGCTTTTCGACATGCCATGTGTGGTTGTCAATAGTTAGCGAATACAATTTCAATCTTATATCATACACAGGGAGAAGCTGGAAGAGTCACCCAGTAATCCTTTGTTTTTCTCTGAGCGGACAGGGCATCATTGATGTCATGAAAACAACACCACCAATGTGTCTAGAAGTTCTCACTCATGACGCACAAAAAATCTAGTCCAGATCGCATGAGTTATCTAGGAGCTATAGCTGATGGAGTAATCGATGAGTCGCACTGGAGTCAAATCTTGATTTAATCCTAATGGTTTCTTTAGAGGTTAACAAATGTAATTTATATCCACTTAAGAGCAAATTGGATCATGCATTTGTGATTTATAGCCAAATGTATGCAAACTGCAGAGGATTGGAATTTGCCATTCAGCCATGCCCACATGCTTGAGCCAGCAGCCAGTGTTGAGAGAAGGATTTAGCTTCATGGTGTGCTATGTCATTAAACACAGATTTAAATCTGTATGAATCGTAGAGTAAAAGGAAGAGAACAAGCAAGAAAACAAGTGACTTCCTGTTCAAAGAGGGCAGGGCAAATGTAATGACACAATCTCACCATGTGAAAGTGATGAGTGCTGGTCTGTTATGACACACAAAGTCTCATGCAGCTATGACCTTGTATACAGATGTTATTAAACCCTGCTGTTTTATGGCAAATGGACAGATTTTGAAGCTTGGCAACATCCACAAGCATTAATGTTGAAGAAAGATCTTGATAACTTTGGTTTGCAATGCCTGAAGACTGTGCTCAGTGATTATCAAGTCTGGATGTCAAAAACTATAGGACGAGTTAGATCAAATGCGGAGGCTCCAAACCAGAGGTGTCAAACCCACTTACAAAAGGTGGTCAACATTAAAACCCTTTTCAAACTAAGGGTGCATTCACACCAGCCCTGTTTAGTCCGCTTTAATCAAACTCTAGCTTGTTTTCCAAGAAAGTCTGGCTCGTTTGGGGAGGTGTGAACGCGCCATCGAACTCTGTCACGGAACAAAAAGGCGAACTCTGGCCCGGGCTAAAACCTAGGTCTCGGTCTGGTAGAAGAGAACTCCAGCGCGGTTACAGTACAGTGTGAATGTAAACAGACCGGGCCCCGCTCCACAAGCAAGAAGTGGAGTACAGCGCAGGGCAAACAAACACACATTTCTTTTACCTTATATGGAGCCGTCAGCTGCCTTGTGTGAAAAACAATATTCTCCATGGTCTTCTGTCTCATCTTCTGCTCATGCTGAGTCCATTGTTGAAAAATGACAAAATATAACTCCTAAAACTGCTAAAACTTGATGCCACTCCATTTTTGTTTTTATTTCCAGAAGAAGAAGAAGAAGAAGTGTCTTCAGAGGTTTTTGTGTTGTTTCTTTAAGTAGTTCTTGGTGCAGCGCCCCCACAGGCGAGCGGAGGAATAGGTTGGTTCAACAGGTTGGCTTGACTGCACAGGGCAGTGTGAATGCAAACACACCAGCTCAAATGTACAGGTCCTTCTCAAAAAAATTATCATATTGTGATAAAGGTCATTATTTTCCATAATGTAATGATAAAAATGAAACTTTCATATATTTCAGATTCATTGCACACCAACTGAAATATTTCAGGTCTTTAATTGTTTTAATACTGATGATTATGGCATACAGCTCATGAAAACCCAAAATGTCTGTCCCAAAAAATTAGCATATCATGAAAAGGTTCTCTAAACAAGCTACTAACCTAACCATCTGAATCAAAGACGTAACTCTAAACACCTGCAAAAGATTTCTGAGGCTTTTAAAAACTCCCAGTCTTGTTCATTACTCAAAACCGCAATCATGGGTAAGACTGCCGACCTG